CAATGATCAATACTCAATGATTGATATGCCTGTTCAATAAATTTGAAATTAAATTTCAAAGTTAATCATTGAAGCACACATTAGGGTGCACAGCTGGAGAAGAAAAAGTCGAAGCATTTGAAATTCTAGGGGTTCAGATGCAGAGTCTCGTGAGGATTTAACTAGCAGAGATATTTGCACTTGCACCAGTACTAATATTAAGGAACCTATCGCGGTAGTTCGCGAGATGATATTGGTGTGTATACAACCGGTGGAGCACAGCTGAGACAGAAATTCACACCGTTGACTTTGACTCGAAATATAGTACCCAAGCCACAAATCGCATTGCAATTCAGTGACTGTATAACAATTCTTAGACGGTGAGTGTACCGCAATTGAATGTACAATGTTAATACTTTTGGTTGAGGGTATGTAGATCTCACTGATGTTTCATCCCTCTCTTCCACCCTCTATTTCTCCATTTCTACCTTCACTTCTTCACTATCCATAAATGCTTTATTTGTATTCTCCTCTCCCTTGTTTATGACATTCTAAATGTTTCTCAACAAAAGTCATTTGTATTGCTAATTCTCACAATATCAATTGTTGCTTAATCTTCTGAACAATAAACTATTATCTATATAGCTAGTTATACTATTTATTTATTTATTCGGGTTTCGATAAATCGCAGCATGGAGTTCCGATGACTGTTGTGAGAATCGGCATTAGGAGCATTAGGAATATTAAGAATTCCTTTTTTAAATAAATTTATGGTATTTCTTGTCATCCTTTTTTGGCGAGGTGCTTTAAAAATGAAGATCCCCATAAGATTGCTAATTTATTATACACTAGTTCGGTGCTGCAGCTAGTTTAAATGTAATTAAATTAAATCAGAATAATGTTCATAAAAGAATTCAATGTTAGACAATGTTTTTTTTGTAATTCCCCTTTTGCTTGACGATTTTCGACAGTTGATTGAGCACAATGTTAAATAAAAAATGGAATTCCATTGATAGTTCACTATATATATAAATATATAAATTTAAAATATATAAATTTTTAGGGTAGTGACTCTGAAGATGATTTAGGGAATAAAATAAGAATTAAGGTCCAGGAAGATGAAAATTCCTTGATTGATTTAAATTTACAATGCAATATGACCGTTTAGTGTAAAATTACATAAAATTTCCGATGAAAATGGCAATGGCAATACCGTCGACTGCTAAAATTCAGCGATCTAATTTTGTACGTTGACCTTAATAGAGTGATATATGCATTAAAGAGCCGGATGAATAGTTAACAATGTATAAATTATACATGCCGGACGCGTTGTATCGTTTCCTTGCCTGCTCTCCAGCATCCTGTCAGAAGCCAGAGCAAAGATAGGTGTGTGGGTGCGTGTGTGAGGGGTATTTTTGGTATAAAATATAGTTGGTGAACAGTACACGAGAGCTTCTCGAATAACGGCATGCCCCATCGTACCATCCCCAGTCTATGGATTATTTATTACACTCATTGTGCTTCGATAATAAATTATCTCACCATTTACAGAAGAATACAGAAGTTGGTTCGGGGCTTTGTGGTTCAAATCATTTTCAGGGTATTGATGGAAAAATAATTATTCTTTATGATTCTTATTACTGCTTTTGTTATTAATCTCGGGGTTGAAATTGAAATAGAATTTGCATGGAGGAAATTTCAGGAGTTTGCCGCGAACAACCGGAGGGCGAGGATTATAACCCGACACCTGTGAATTCTACCAGACGAGGGACTATATGATATCACTGTTCTATTTGAGAGCTTGGAAAGTTGTTTGACACCTTAACTGTTCACTTGTTCTGCACTAACGTTAGAGGGAATTTCTCATATGTACTTATGATGATATAAGCAATGTGGAGAATTTCCTGAGACTGAAATAACGTAACTTGCCATGAGCTCACCAGTCCTTCGTATTGTCAGCTTTGTCATCTGGTGAAATAAAAGGTGCATAAGAGGATTTAAAAGAAAAGAAAAGGGATTGCGGGAGGTGGGGGAAAAGGGATAAAAGAATAGAAAAGAGAAACGAAGGTATCATAAAAAAAGATTCCGTCAAAAGTTGGAACCCGCGGACTTTTTCTTTACGTGACGAAGCGTTTTGCACGAAGTTTTATGGGAGGCTCACGTACCTGCACTTCGGGCCTCGTGCCAAGGGCATAAAGCACCACCCCTGCAACATCCTCAGGCACCAGGGCTGCTGTTTCATCGACGAGATTCCCCAGCGGTGTGTTCTCTACCATTTCTCTTTTTACGAGGCCCGGACTTATACTCTGCAAACGAGGTAATTTATTATCAATTTTTTTAATCTTTCGGAGAGATTTTTTTCCAAAGTTCTTTGGCTCGTGGAATATTCTGCAGTGACTTTAATTGGTGTGGGCTAGAGTCTGGCGCAAACTGAAAAATAAAAAGTAATCAGTGATAAATACAGCTTTGCCTTTAACGATTCTCAATTCCATCATATTTACCTGTGGTGATTGTCAATAATTTGAGGATAAATTCAGCCTGCGTACTGTCAGCGTTATTTTTAACCTGTCTCCTTCAATTCGTACACATCACATCTATTTTATTGTCGCATGAGCAAATGCTCTGATAGCAATTACGTTGGTATTGATCAAGCCGTCGAAATTATTTCTGTCAACACGTAGAGAAAAAATCCGTCAGCTAACAGAATCCATGAAATTGTATAATTTGATGTGCCTGATTCCAGCGTTAGTCACCATCATGCCAATACCATTGATTTCTCTTGAGATAAATCATCTCCACGATTATTGTCACAGGTTCCCATTAAATATACTGCCATTTTCAGGGTTGAAAAACAATGATGAAATATTTTCCAACAATTCAGTCTAGTCTGTATGTCAGAAACAATCGTATTTATTTGGTTAGCCAGTAGTAATTTGGATACCACTGCCCCAATTCCAGAGATTGCGGTTTCAGCAGCAGCTTTTCTCTTCTGACAATCCATCATTCGTAAAAAAATCAGGGGACGCTTCGAGAATGAAAATAAAACAGTGTTTTATTATTAACATCGTAATAATTCATTCTGTCCACTTTTTCTGCATAATATACAGTTGCAAACTTTAACAACATTTTTTTCCCACCGAGCCAACGATTATATACATGTAGTATATATTACTATGTGTTATGTATGAACGTGTATATATTTCTATTATTATATTAAAATATTAAACCGTCATTATTCATTAATTCTGAATTTAAAGTTTCATATTCTTCACTTCATTAATTTCTCAAAATGTATTATAATTTTTTCCAAATTGTTTAAAATTATAAATATAATATATTGAATTATTTTGGAAACAATGAAAAAATATATTTTTAAAAGTAACTGTATTGAAAAAACAATTATAATATTAATTAGAAAATTAAATACAATTAATAAATTATATATCTTTTTATTCCAAGCATTTCTGAACATTCACTCTTCAATTTTCAGGGTAATGACACTAGTAAATGATTCATTATTATTTTGCACCATCATACTCTTATTATTAAAAAGTATAGGATGCAAATTGCAAAATGCAAAAATCGCAAAAATTGAAACGTGCGCGTCACGCTCAAGTTAAACAAAAAAAGATGCTCTAATCAATTATTTATTTCTATTCTACGAACGATATTTACTGCTTTCTCATTGAACGTCTCATTAATTCCAATGAATTTCATCCCTCGATATCAATTTAAGACAGAAGGTATTGATTTTTAAAAGTTCATTTTGATTTTGAGCGGTAAATCGCGTGTTGTATTGCACTGGCTCACCCCGGCCTGAAAAGAATGGCTTACCCCGGGCTTCATTTTGTCGCTATTTTTCTTATCACGTTCTGCCAATACGGAGAAAAAATTCATAATGATCTGTTGTGCATTGAATGCTCAATCGAAATATTTTCTATCCCTCCACCTCAAGTGACACCGAAGATATAGATTTTTCATGTTCCAGTGTTTTTCCAGCGATTCTCCCTTTTTCGATGAATACCTCTTGACTAAAAATATCAGCGAGGAAAATGTTATCACAATTTTCATCTCCGAATGATCCCCTCACGAGGATGACACATAATTTTGAAATGGCCCGTATATATTTATATATTTCAAGGATGAATTCTATGTAAGAGAAATTTCCACTTTTTGGCCGTTAGTATATGGTACGCGTGACGGCGGATGTCACCAAGTTTCACGAGGTATCTGAGATGTTCCCCAGGAGAAGAGAGCCACCGGAAAAAGTAAGAACTCGACGAGAGAATATTTCGATATATCTGTAAATCTGAGGGAGTTAGATATACGAGAGGGGAAAAAAAAGGTATAAAAATGTGGCAGGAAACCTGGCGACGTATGCGGCTACGAGGATGCCTCTGTACACTGGCATTAAAACTTTTCAGACAGGCTCGATGTTGCCGTCAACTCGAGGCCATCTGTACAGTCGAGATACCCGTATATTACGTAATATTTTCATGTGTATAACTATGTACTATGTACACTCGCTAACATAATGACTTTCATCGGAATGTAAATATGAGAAAGTCCATACCGGCCACTGCATTCCCAATTCAGTTCAATTAAACAGCTCTTTAAACTTTAATTATTAACTCCATGTATTAACCAAATCATGGATGTACTATTGGAAAATTGTACTTTCCTCTTTTCATTGATGCTGTGTCACCCAATCCTCATCGATCCTTTATTCAGTTACGTGAATCTTTCCTCAGGTAAAATTTTGAATTGAGTACTGAATGGATTTTAATCTTCAAACTAAATATTCATTTCCACGGAATAATCCGTTACCACTCAAAACGTTACCTCAGAAAATTATAAAAAAAAATATTACAGCTAAGAATATTTCAACGAAATACACATTATTTCGAGACATTACAAGAACGAGGAAGATAAAATAATAAATGATCATATTAACGTAGACAATTCTACAATTTCCAACTGACTTTTCAATTTCGTTGATACCCTGACCATTCGCATAATTTTTTTCATATTTTCCCCGAATTCTCGGAATTCTGATTAGTCATCACAGCATAATTACCCATCCCTTGCAATTATTTCCACCCCGTTCTCAAATCTGACTGAAGATTCAATTTCCAAGAAGCATAAGGAATGTTTGAGTAGATATTTTCAGATTATTGTTCTCGCCATGGTTTTTCCTCCATCCCGAATTATTTTTTTTGTCGAAACAATTGTGCATGTCGGCTGGGTCAATCTCTTTTTCCTCCCAACTAGCCTCACGAAAATAACGCTGTGATTTATGATCTCTAGCTTCCCTAGTTTCTTATGAGGGAAGACTAAAGCCGAGCATGGAGCTTACAGTTGATCCATCTCACCCACCCCTGACATTCTGGACTCAACTTGATTCAAACGAACCGTTACGTGATCCCATACAAACATCAAATTTTTTATCCCCTTAATTTTTAGTAGTATTTCCAAGGTAAATAATTCTACCCAACAAAGTACAAGGCAACAGAAAAAAAATATTTCTCCACTCCTTTACCTCGAGCTGTGGAATTTTTCTGGAAAATATCGTCGACTTAACGATCCCTGAAATAGAAATTTTTTTTATGTACCTCATTTTTTGTCATCTCCAACGACACCAGGACGATAAACGCACTGTAGACTTTATTGTCACGTCGTGGCTTCCGATAAAGTATCCTTGGTGCACAGTTAATGATTGCCGCAGGGTTGATGTGATAAGAAAGGAGGCAGAAAAAATGTTATGAATTACCGGTATACCAGGAACAATCACGTTCATCCTGAATTGATGTTTCAAAAAATCTTATCAGTTGTCCACCAACTCCCCCGCCATCACAACGTTCATGAAAGAAAAAATGACAAATCGCTGAGAATCAATAAAATAAATGATTCATAGTAAATTCAAGATAAGTAAAGGAAATAACGATAAGCCCAGAAACGAAACCCCTTTTCTCTTGAACCGTAGGTTGTGTGTTCAACCCTTGGGAAATCATTTTCATTTAAGATCGAGTCCCGTAGTACAAGCGTCGAAAGTAAAACCAACGAATAAGACTCTGAGTAAAAGGATAGGAGGGATAAAAAAAATGGGAAAAATAAAGAGAAGGCGACAGAGACAAGGAGGAGAATAAAAGGTGGATCTGCCCAGGAAGGCATCGAATAAATTATTTCACTCTGACGAAGACCTCCACCTCCTCCCCTCACCCTTCAGCATCAACCGAGAGAGAAGAGTGAGGGCAAAGAAGACGAAGAGGTAGACGTTTCGCATGGTAATTCCCGTCTTTCTGCGCAAATCTTGGAATTGTCTTTCTTAAAAGGTAAAATAAATCGACGTAGAAAGGAAAAGGAATTACGTATTGAGCGATGAGAGAACGAACGAGATCTCCATTCGATCGGAAACGATTAGCGAAATTACCATTGCTTTCATTCGATATTTTCATGGAGGAAAAACGGGTAACGGAGAGAATAAAGGAGAGTGAGGTTTGCTCATGGCAAACCATTTTCAAATTAATACAATTCTTCCATGATCATGTTCCCTCCCTCCTTCATTCTCATTCGTATCCCCTCATTTAATGAGACATTTTCATCCAATTGTCAAAACTGCGCATGATCATTGCAGAAAACATTTGATCCACCAACCACAGCGACCCCTTTTGCCTTCACTAGAAAGTTATCTTTAACGAAAACTAATCGAAGACGCCGACGTGGAAGCCCCTCATCCGGATGCTATTCTATTGACTTCGCAAAGTTTAGATTGCCATGCGGTTAAGATTGCAAACCCCACCCTCCCAAGTGTACGTATATGAGACTCTACCTTCTACATCTTCCCCTGTAGGTACATCCGGGCACAGTAATGTAACATCAGGGGGTTGAGTTGGCTCATCTCTTCCGTAGCTACTTAATTATTAAACGAAAAATTTCATTTTTTCCACCCCCACCCGTCTGTCCTTGTAACTTTCACCGAGAGCACGACCTATCATGGCTGCAAATCTGGTGGTCTTGCTGTAAGACACCTAGTAAATATAATATGCGCCTGTCAGGTTTACCAGGTGAACACCTGATCAGGACCTTGGTCAATCGCTATCAGACTCACCTCCTAAGATTGATCTTTCTTCTTGTTTTCAAGGCCCTGGTCAGGGAATTTTCTTCAAAACATCTTTAAAAAAGAAAATTCTTCGAAAGATCTTCAAAAAAAAAAATCTTTCCCAAAGATATTCCGAATTTTTCTGCCCAATATCTTCCGAAGTTATCTCTGAAATATTTCGTCTTATAAAGAATCTTTTTGGGTCACTAAGATCGC